TCCTTTGGCTTTTTTTTTTTTTTTTTTCCCTTTCCTCAGATCGCATGATACCTGCCGGCCTTCCTTGTAGTTTTACATGTGCCATAGTGAGGCTCTGCCAGGGTGCAGCAGGTTTACGAGTTCCCGGTGCCTTGAAAATCGGGCTGTATTGTACTGTCTGATACCAGAAGCATACTGCAGCTGTTTTCACTAACAAAATGATACATGGCAGTAACTCATTTTAACAAGACACTGTGCTCACAGGAATCTGATGACAGAGGTAGCACAAACAGGCTGCACTGTATTATGTCACCCCTCTCCAACTGAAGAAGTTGGTGAATTTGTAAAGCCTTGCAACTTGTTTTCATTAGGAGAGGTGACTTGCGGAGAAATCACTCTATAACTTTGGAGTTATAAAGTGGGTATGTTTATTCAGCGCTGGGCGCATGGGGGATCGCTCCACCACAAGCATGTGTGCTGTTTGCAGCTCCTGTCCGGCTTATATGTTACGAAGTAGTGCATATTCATAGAACACCTATACATATACATAGTCTACCCCCACCTCCCCTTGCTTCTAATGGTAATCAGGTCTCCTCCCCTTGCGCCTGCGCGATGAGCTCTTCAAGCTCCAGGCTGGGGTCGCAAATTCCTGGGGAGGGGTTGTAAAGATGAAGTACCTCTTCTTCCTCGCTGATGAAGTTTTCACCCCGTCGCTCTGCGCAGCCTCAGTTGTTCTCTGGCTTCTGACCAGACTGCCAGGCCAGTTTGTGCTGGTGTTTGGGATAATCTGTTGCTGATACCCCCAACTTCAAGGACCAGAGGAGACTTCTCTTTGGGCTAGGAGATAGTAGCCTAGCAACGTTATCAGCACCTGGTATGTCTTTGCGAACAGCCTCATACATCTCCTTTTGTTTTTGCACAAGTCTTGCACCATCAGTCTAAGATTGTTTAGACTCCCTGTCTCATTCTCCCCTTTTCTTCTTACTTAGTAAATTCTTTTACTACTTATCTATCTACTAATCTATTTCCCTTGCCCTTTAATATGTTAGTTTATTGCTTAAAGCTGGGATTGTGATATAAAATGTCATACATAGCTTGCAAGCGTTTTGTAAGTCTCCAGATCCATATATATGTAGTTACAGTAAGAATCAACAAAATTGCTACAGATATTAATAAAGCAACCACTGGGTGAAGGGCTGTGTTTAAGATTCCAGTAGTTGTAGGCGACCATCCGAGGAGCGTATCCAACCAATTATGTTTCCCTTCCTGCTCAACCACCTTTAAGACCTTTTTTATCCTCATCATGAAAGGTTGTGAGTAAAGTTTCTTGCCCTTTCTCCTTGAGTTCTTCCAGTATCTGTTCTAAGTCTGGCTTTCTATATGACTTACATTTAACCCTATGGGGACAGGAAGTATCGTTACCATAAGGCTGCTTTTCAAGAGGGAATGTGTAACCTCTGGGGCAGGATAAGTGAAATCACACCCCAGGATGATGGTGAAATTACAATAATTTAGATGCTGTATCAATTTCTTCTCTCACCCATCTATGGTTATTGTGTCACACAGTGTCCTTAAACATGCACATCCCTTTCCGGTATAGACAACAATGGTTCTCAAATCTATATTGGGACGTGCTTCAAAGTGGAAGGTATTACTTTCACATATAAATCCCTGTTGTTCTTTCATGATACAGGGTTTGAGATCTACTGTTTGCCATTTATTACCAGTATTCATAGCTTAGGTCTTATGTTCAAAGGGGTACAGCAGAGTCCTGTTGTAATTGATTCCAAGGCTTACAATGGGGTGTATGGTGATTAATTTTGCATCATGTATTGTTAACACAAAAGTCGTTACTGTATGCTTATCAGGCCTATAGGTGAAGTTAACCATATTCCACCATGATTGTAACTTTGTCTCTGTGGCACTATCCCAAACTATTTTTTGAATTTCAGTGGGAAGTGTGCCCTCTTCTCCTTTTGTATACACTTCTGTTCTCTGCATCACTACAGTAGTTAAAGTTAAGGCTGAGTTAGTATCGGTTATACTCATGCTTTCAATATACCTAATGTACGCCTGGGACCATGGCCATTCAGTGAACCTTTGGCTGGGTATCTGGGGAAAGGAGATTATTAGACTTATCGTGAGAAGCGTAGTCTTCCCAGCTGAGTTTGTGTAACCTTCCATGGGGATTTGTGGGCCCTCTTTACTCGGATGTGATGAATCCAGGCTAAGTATTCTTTAATCTTGATGGCTGTAAACATTGTGAGTAGCACTTGAAACGGCCCTTCCCATTGTGGTTCCAATGTCTTTTCTGTAAGAGACTTAACATACACTTAGTCTCCAGGCTGAATGTTATGTACAGGCCCATCTAACCCTCTACCCTGAGTTCCAAATACATGTTTCCCAATTCTATTGAGTTGTTTACTTAATGTTATCATGTATGAAGTTATAGTTTCTTCCCCAACTTGCATTGACGTTCCCTTCTGTACTGTGTAAGGTCTGCTATATAACATCTCAAAAGGGCTCAACCCTTCCCTGGGCCTTGGTTTGGCTCATATATGTAAAAGTGCCAGAGGGAGAGCCTGGGGCCAGGTCAGGTTTGACTCCTGCCCGAGTTTCACTATTTGCTGCTTAATCAAATGGTTCATATTTTTCTACCTGGCCACTAGATTGGCGACGATAAGGAGTGTGAAGTTGCCAGTCTATACCCAGACGGCGACTGATTTGCTGAACTACTTTCGAGATAAAATGTGGTCCTCTATCTGAGGATATAGTCGCTGGGACCCCAAGGCGTGGAATTATTTCTTGTACCAATATTCTTGTTACTTCCCAGGCTTTGGCAGACCTAGTGGGGAATGCTTCTGGCTAACCTGTAAAGGTATCTGTTAATACCAGTAAATATCGATACCCCCCTTTTCTTGGAAGTTCTGAAAAATCAATTTGCCATTGTTGTCCCTGTCCATTTCCTTTTCCAATTTGGCCTACTTCTAGAGTGGGGGTATTCTTAGGATTAGTCTGGAGGCAAAGGTCACACTGTTGAGTCACCTGTCTTACTATGGTATACAAATTTCTAGCTCTACTACTCTTGACCAAATATTGGTATAGGGCCTCCTGTCCCTAGTACCCTTTCCTGTGTTCTTCTCGTACCAGGTGTCTAGCTAAATAAGAGGGAATTACTACCTTACCATGGGGAGTGATGGCCCAACCTTCTTCATTATATGATCCTTCCAGGTCTGTAATTAATTTTTGATCCTCTTTAGTATAAGTACGCTTACCTTCTGGGACGACTTGCCCATTAGGAACTAAAGCTCCCTCTATTTTTACCTCTCTTTTGGTTGCTTGTTTTGCCTCTCTGTCTGCCAGTTCATTTCCTTTTTCCAAATCCAAGTTCACCTTTTGGTGTGCCTTAACATGCATGATTGCCACTTTTCCTGGAAGTTGGACAGCTTCCAGTAGCCTCAAAATTTCCTTCCCATGTTTGATGTGTTTCCCTTGTGAGTTCAACAGTCCTCTTTCCTTCTAGATTGCTCCATGAGCATGAACTACTCCAAAGGCATACTTTGAGTCTGTATAAATGTTTGCAGTTTTGTCTTGGGCTAATTCTAAAGCACGGGTCAGAGCGATTATCTCTGCCTTTTGTGCAGATGTATTCACAGGCAGTGGTTCTGATTCCAGTATCTCTTGGGTGGCAGTGACAGCATACCCAGCATACCTTTTGCCGCTCAGGACATAGCTGCTCCCATCTGTAAACCAGTTCTCAGCATCTTCCAGAGGGGCATCCTTCAGATCTGTGTGGCTTGAGTATGTTGCCTCAATGGTCTCCAGGCAGTCATGTTGCACTGGTTCTCCTGTGTTTCCACTCAGGAAAGAAGCTGGGTTAATAATGTTAGTTACTACAATCTCCACATCATCTTGTTCTACTAATTCCGCCTGATATTTTAAGAACCTTTGGGGTGAAAGCCAATCTCCCCATTTAATTTCCAATACTGCAGACACTGTGTGAGATACAAATACAGTAATTTTCTGGCCTAAGGTGAATTTTCGTGCCTCCTGTATGTTTAAGATCACTGCTGCAACTACTCATAGGCATCCAGGCCAACCTTTAGCAGTTGTATCTAGTTGCTTGGAGAAATAGGCGACTGCCTGACGATACGGGCCTGTCTTGTGCCAGTATTCCCAATGCAATTCCCTGTTTCTCGTGTGAAAAGAGAAAGAATGGCTTGCTTACATCTGGGAGTCCTAAGGCCGGAGCTGACATCAGAGCCTTTTTTTAACAGGTCAAAGGCTCGTATAGCCTCCTTATTCCGTTGGAGATTTTTCTGTTGAGTGGCGGTTAGTGCATATTTAACAAACAATCCAATATTATAAATCCATAGTCTGCACCACCCAGTCATTCCCAGGAACGTTCGCAGTTCTTTTACTGTCTGTGGCCTCGGAGTCTGGCAGATCGCCTCCTTCCAAGCTTGACCTAAAGTTCTCTTTCCAGCACTGATTTCGTAGCCCAGATAGATCACTTCACTCTGCACCACTTGTGCCTTCTTTTTAGATACCCGGTAGCCCTGAAGTCCCAGACAATCTAAAAGGCTTACCGTCTAGGTCACGCAGGCCTCTTTTGTCTTGGTGGCAATTAGGATGTCGTCTACATACTGCAGCAGCTTTCCCTCTTCAGGTGGAGTTGGGGTTTCAAGGTCTTTGGCCAATTAGTTACCAAATATAGTGGGGCTGTTTTTAAATCCTTGTGGCAGCACTGTCCAGGTCAACTGGGGTTTATGTCCACTCTTAGGATTTTCCTATTCGAATGTAAATATTTTCTGACTGGCTTCGAGGAGAGAGAGGCAAAAGAAAGCATCCTCGAGGTCTAAAACAGTAAACCAGATTAGCTCAGGAGTTAATTTTGTTAACAAAG